TTGTAACCACAGCAAAGCCTAGCACAGTTCTGACTGGCATACCACATGAACAACCTTCACTCTAGTCATGAAGTTAGATTTCAGCTACAATGAGTACAGGATGTCAGCTGTGTTGACTTAGGCACCTAGGCCACAAAGACCAGTGAAGGACTGAATCCTGAACATGCAGCTTCATAGGGGCCCATCCATAAGCCGCCCTCAGGAGTCCTATGAAATATCTATTGCCTGCGTCATGACAGCCGGTTGAAATACCTGACCCTTTCCTTCTGTGACTGAGCTCAAGCAGCTTTTCTTTAAGCAAAGGCTCATTGTATCTGGCCTTGGGACTAAGCAGGCGGTTGTTCTCTATCCCTTCATTCTGATCTCTGTGTCCCTGCACATCCTGACCCTCAGTGACCCCCAGAGCCTCAGGGGACTCCTGCCTCAGTCCTTTCCCTCCAGGAGTCCCCCAGAGCCCCTCGGCCCCCACCCCTTGCCAGTTTGGGTGGTATGCCTCTGCATGGGTTCTCCTTCCCTCTTTGTTCATTTCCTCCAGAGCTCTAGGGGGTAAATATGAAATGACATAAGGGACAGCTCTCTTTGGACACCTGAACAGTGTGTTCAAGCGGCCCTGGTAATGACTGAGTTGAGTGAGCTGAGCTCACTTAACGTTGTACTGGAGGCTTGGATTGTTGCAGAGATGACTCAGTGTCAGCTTTTGACGTCTGTCCAGGGCTTTAGCTTTTCCTTAGCCTTTGTTCCAGAACATTGAGGTGACAGTGGAAGTGTTTCTGCTGCCTGAAGGAAAACATTATTAGAAATGGCTTTCACTGGGCTGCTGGTGTTCCGCCTTTCATGTAAGGTAATAATAGCCAAGTAATTCTGAGAACGGAAAGAGGCTAGCAGTCATTTCAGAAAATAGCATCTTTTCTGCCAGAACAGTAATTCATGTTTATTGTTTTTTTTTAAATTGGAACATAAGAAAGTATAATAAAAAGAATGACTCTTCATAACCCCATGGTACAAAAATAACCATTGTTCCTTTCAGTTTTTACATGTACATACATTTTTAGATGAAACTGGAATGATAACAATAGGAAACATTATCGAAACCATTCTCTGTGCCAGGAAGTCTTTACGCACGTTATGTATGTAATCTTATTTTACCTCACAACAACCCTTTGAAGAATCAGCTCCATTTTACAGAAGAGGAAACTGAGGCACAGAGAGGCTAAGTCATTTCTCCAAGGTCACACAGCTCATAAGCGTGGTGCCAAGATGGAAACCAAAGCAATCTCTCTGCCTCCCGAACCCTGGGCCTTGCCTACTCCATGATACCGTCTCACAGTGAAGGCACATGTCATGGAATGGGATTACTTTCATTGGAATTTTGCAATGTCGGCTCTAAGTAGCCTGGTTCTAGCTCCTTAGATTGTAGATTGAGATCTAAAGCCACAGGTGTGATTTGATTTACTTAAAACAGTGCGGCTGGGGAATGTTAGTGCCAAAACTGGAACACATGTTCTGACCCACACAGTCTACATGCACGCTGGCTCGAGGGAAATAGGAACCTTTGTCCTCCCTGCATGTCGCAGCCCTGAAATGGCTCACTGTTGCGCTCAGGACTGAGTCCAGATGAAAGGCAGGACAGAGGACTCGCATGGCTTTCTTCCCAGCATGTACTTGAAATTGCAGTTTGTGTTCAGGGAGTATATGGGGATCTAGTGTTTGCTGACTCTTAATTACCCCTCAGAGGCGGAGCTTTAAAAGGCTGCGAGGAGTGGCCCAGCAGTAGGTCCAACTTTTCACCCTTATCAAACATTTCTAACTGAGATTTGCTGACGAGCAGTAAGACTGATTGATTTGAGCTTTAAACGCCACAGATTTCCTCCGCCTGGATTCTTGAGGACGTGCCAAGCATTGTAATAACTATAAGTGAGCCAAAAGTCAGCCAGCCCTCTGTGTGTAAACATTCCTGTCTATACGAGGCTGTCCTGGTATAGAGAATGCAGCAGTCACTAAGAGAATGAGGCCGTTGTGTTGAGATGCTGGGGTTGGGTGGCCGGCTGCGGTGTGATTAAGAATCAAAGAAGGAAGAACAGATGATGGTTTACTGCTGCAGTCGGTAAGGTATAAAAACCTCTGTATCTTCAGGTATGGGGGTGGACTTCTCAATTGAGAACACCAAGCAGGTTGGTTCGTTGGTTTGTTTTTTAATAGATGAATCTATTCTAGTAAGAACAAGGCGGGCAAGAGCAAGTTCTTATGAATCTCACAAACACTGCAGAGTGAAAAAAAGACAGGAATGCTGATGTCAAGTTCATGGTTATCCTGGAGGTGGGGGTGATGTAGTTGTGTGATTGAAGGCGGCATGAGGAAGTTTCTGTTCTGTTTTTTCTAATTGGGTCCTAGTTATGTAACGTGTTCAGTTTGTGGAAATTTGTAGTTTTATACATACTAAATGTCCTCTTTTCTGAGTATAAATTATACTTAAAAGTCCTTATCTGTGTTTGTGTATATTGTTGCACTTTGATCTCCATTTACTTGGATCACTGTGAAGTGATATAGAATTTATTGCCTAGATATTAGAAAAATGTCTTTACCTGGAATGGCCAGGTCTGTATGTGCAGAACTTCCAAGATCACTTTTTGATTCTATTAAAATGTATCTTCAATGACTTCAGGGTAGACACTCCTGAATGACGAAGAATGATGTCATTCTAGTTCAGCGAACATTTGTTGACAGCCTCCTATGAATAAGGGACGTGCTAGTGCAAGCTGGGTACAGGCGTGGCCATCTCTCCCCTGAGGAGCCTGCACCCCCTGTGGGGGTGAAGTCCATGCATGGGTGGTAGCGGAGGGATTGAGCGGAACAACAAAAGCACCATGGAGGATTGCTCAAAGGAAAGGCGGCTTTCCAGTGGCACTAGGAGAATCTTCAGAGAAGTGGCATTTGAAATGGATCTTACAGCCTATGTAGGATTTTGATTAGTAGAGGTGGATGGGTGGTGGCATTGCAAATATTAGACACAGGAGGAAATCCATAGAAAATTCATATATATTCTGGGAACTTTCGATTGCATGGTTCACTCAAGATGACCAGCACCCATCAGGTAGACTGTGAAGCCTGAAAGGTAGGCTATGGCCTTACAGTGGCCATGTTGCATTATTGGAGAGGCACTAGGGAGCCAAAGAAAGTTTCTGAGAAGTAGAGAATTATGATTATATTAGACATCTTTAATGGGATCAGTTTCCCAGCCTCGTGATTGTACGGGTAGCCTGTCTGCCCAGAATAAATATTTGCTAGGTTTAATGCATTCTTTGTTACTGTAATTTGAGCCTATTCCTTTTTGGGTCCACTAGTGAACCATAGATCCATAGCTTCCTTGAGTTTCCTGTATTCATCTCTCTAGGACTTAACAATTATTATATATCTTCTTTAGTCCCTATACCCATCCTTCCCTCTTGACCAGATAAAGTCACGGTTCCTTTATCCTTTTTCATACATCCTGTTTTCCAGTCTGATAGTGATTTGGCATTTAGTTCCTTCCAGCCTGATGCTCTTGTGCCAGATAAAACCACCAGTGTCGCTGATGCGTGGCAAAATTGTGTGTGGGAAGAGAGAGGCCAAGAAATATTGTTAACAAACTTCTCTAAGCTGTGAAGGAAGCCTGACTCACCAGCCTGGGTTTGTGTCCCACTGTGCTGTTGGGCTCTCTTCTCTGGGAAAAAGCACTAGGTAGGATTTGTCACATCGCAAACTGTTAATACTTGTTGTTGACAACAGTCCATATTCGAGTCTGGGCCACTTACGCAGTGTGAGGTCTTTTGAGTTATTGTCTTACTAATTCTTTACTATGTCAGCATGCTGTCCTCTTAAAAAAAGGTAACTGGGGCTGAATATTATCTCCCACTTGAGACGCTATATCAAGGCATTATTCTAATCAAAGTGTTGTTAACTTGACAAATAAGATGTTTCAGTTTAGATCTTACAAATCTTTGTTTAGAGAATGTATTCAGATGCTACAAAGACCTGTTTTTAGTCCTCTGGGGACACCAGTCGTAGAATGTCCTGGCTGGAAAGAGGACCTGAGTAAGGGTGATTTGATTCAAATCCTGACTCCTTTAAGCCTCAGCTTCTACTCATTATATGGCTCTAACAGATTCTTTGCCTGGCTTGGTAGTAAGGATCAAACAAGACAACCCTATGCACATCCACAGTGCCTGGCACACGGACTGCATTTGCCTTCCTTTCTAGAGCCAGACGAGTTCCCCCTCCTGCCCCCCTCGCCTACCCCCACCTCCACCCCCACCCCCGGCACCTTGACCAAGATGCTCAGCTTTGCAGTTCTTTTCCCCAAGTGGCCCTTTAATGAGAAAACTGTTTCACTTGGTCTTAGTATTAGTACTGTTTTTTTAATCACTTTGGTTGTGGTTTGCAGTTGTTTCTATATCTAAATACTACTGGTGTATTACTCAGTTATTAAAATTAATCTTGGACCATATTATTTAATTACATCTGTTTAATGATTTCATTAAGAAAATAATTTCTTGTATAGATCAATGTACCCGCTGGAACTTTACTTTCTTTTATCTTTCTTTCTTTTTTTTTTTTTTTTCCATTCTCCTTCTATTACATGACTGAGTCCTGAATTGGATGCACTTCCCACAATGGTGAAGTTCTCTGTGAATGGATATGTCAGGAATCGCAGTTACTGGAACACTTTGGGAAACCAGGACTGACTGATAATCTCATTCCATTATGCAGTTCTACTCTGGCAACCAAAAGTTACCATCTTATCACACTGATAATTGGATACCCTGGGAGATCTGAATCTCACAGTTAGTACAGGGACACAGGAAGGAGTTGGACTGTCCTATATTCAACTTGGGAGGATAGTAGGAAGTTTTTTTTAAATCTGGGACTTAATGTATGTCTGTTGTGTGTGCACAACTTTTATCATAGAAACTGTCTCTTAGACTTCAAACCTTAAAGTGCTACTTCTGCCCTGTCTTTTTCAGGTAGAACGACATGACATGACTACTCTAAGCCTGCCCCTAAACATACGCCGAGGCGGGTCAGACACCAACCTCAACTTCGATGTACCAGATGGCATCCTGGACTTCCACAAGGTCAAACTCAGTGCGGATAGCCTGAAACAAAAAATTCTAAAAGTAACAGAGCAGATCAAAATTGAGCAGACATCGCGTGATGGGAACGTTGCTGAGTATCTGAAACTAGTCAACAGTGCTGACAAGCAGCAGGCTGGCCGTATCAAACAAGTCTTTGAGAAGAAGAATCAGAAATCAGCTCACTCCATTGCCCAGCTGCAGAAGAAATTAGAACAGTATCACAGAAAGCTCAGGGAGATTGAACAGAATGGAGCCTCCAGAAGCTCCAAGGACATTTCCAAGGACAACCTGAAGGACATCCAGCACTCTCTGAAAGATGCCCACGCCAAATCTCGAACTGCTCCACACACCATGGAGAGCAGTAAATCGGGCATGCCAGGGGTTTCCCTCACTCCCCCTGTATTTGTCTTCAGTAAGTCCAGAGAGTTTGCCAATTTGATCCGGAATAAGTTTGGCAGTGCAGATAACATCGCTCACTTAAAAAATTCCTTAGAGGAGTTTAGGCCCGAGGCAAGTGCTAGGGGCTACGGTGGCAGCGCAACCATCGTGGACAAACCCAAGTATGGCAGCGACGACGAGTGTTCGAGCGGCACGTCAGGCTCTGCAGACAGTAACGGGAACCAGTCATTCGGGGCCAGTGGAGCTGGCCCACTGGACAGCCAGGGGAAGCTCACCGTTATCCTGGAGGAGTTGAGGGAGATCAAAGATACCCAGACACAGCTGGCCGAGGACATTGAGGCGCTGAAGGTGCAATTTAAAAGAGAATACGGTTTTATTTCTCAGACCCTGCAAGAGGAGAGATACAGGTATTTCAGACTTTTAGAGTGTATTTGGATGCATGAGTTACTAACTGTAGAGAGATTGCTTGACAGTGATATGCTAATGGTTATGTTTTTCATAAAGAGGAATGTGGGTCAAAAGGCATTTAGGGATCAGTAGTACTTTCCATACTTCATACTTGACAGTTTAGAGAAAGATATTGTATGTGTGGGTCTATTAAAATATCACTATGTTAGTCTATGACTCATGTGCATTTTAAGCTTCTGATTCAGGGACTTCTGTTGAGAAGATTTATTACACTGGTTCATAGATCTGTATTTGATTTTCCTCCATGATAACTATCAAATGAAAAACTAATTCATTTCCCAACAAGGTAGATTTTAATTGGTACATCAATTTTAAAGTCTTCATATAGCATATTTTTTTGCATACTATATCTTGCTCATTAAACCCCCCCCATGAAGAAAATGTTCAATAGAAATTTTAAGTCTAAAGTATAAATTTCAAATCTGTGGGTTATACATGGTAGGGAAAAAAGTACATTTACAGTTGTAAGTACACGAAACAGAGTTTATTCTTCTATTGTTTATTAATTATTGCATTATTTTCCATACAACCGTGAACCTACTTTTGCCCCACCCTGTATTAGCTAATTTTAAAAGTAAGTATTTTGTTGGCTGGCTTTTATGTGTTAATAAAAAGTGTATATGCCCAAACATGAGGTGCTTTTCCTCCATTTTCCCAGTTTAAAAAAAATTCTCCAAAGATTTTTTTGGTCACAATGAATATGTTAACTTATAAAAATGTAGATAAAAAAGTGAATATATATCACATATTGTAAGATTACAATTTTAAATTTAGCTTACATGTTTTGTATCTGATACATGATTTTATATATATATTAATTTAGGAATGTGGCTTTTTTCAGCTCATATTTTATTAAACAATTTTTTTAACCTTCCTCATAATCTTTGACTTTGGTTTCTTTGTCACACAACAAATATTTTTGAGTCACAAATTTTCCAGAGACTATTAACCTTAATTCTATTAGAATAGTTTGGGGTATAGCACACTTTGGATCCAAATTGTATCCTAAGTCACAAATACTCATTTACATAAGTTTAGGAAAGTGTTTGTTCTCATTTGTTATATAGTTATATTTGTGATCTCCATGATCTAGCCACTGACTATATTGCTTACTTTAAGAGTTCTTCAAAAGGCTTGTTTATAATACCAACATGGGGTACCTATGAAGTCCTACCTGAGAATAAGTGTAAATATGTAATTTTTGTCTTATTTTTTTAAAAATGATTCTACCAGATGTTCTATATAAGCATCTTAAAACTGGCATTGATCAGCCTCATTTCAAGCTAATCTTCTCCAAATAGTGCTTCCTGTTTCAAAATAAATATTATAAGCTTTTGTAACTATAAGACAAATCCCTCTTCTTTGAGGGGAATGAGGACTGAGAATGGGAATCTTTGTGCCTCTGTTTCCTTAGATTTGGACTTTTTGAAATGCTAACCTGATAAGCATCTACAATGCATAATGAACGTAAGTTCCAAGAGCTGAAACACGTATTCAGAATCAATGTGTACACTGGGAAATAGTGGAATTGGCTCCAGTGTAGTGATTGGTTCTTTCCTTGTAGGCACTCTGGTGCCTGAGAGCCGTGCCCGTGAACTGCTGGGCACCATGGGACAGAGGAGAGAGAGGCACCGACATGCCAGTGGGTCCTTGCTTTGAGCAGGAGCCCAGACAGCCCCGCTTCCTGGCCAGCAGCGGTGTATGCGTCATTGCTGAGGTCTGTGCTGTCATCATCGCTGCCGGCCAAGGTGCTGGTCTGACCTGGGTGGAAAAGCCAGATTTGCTTTGCACGAAACCTCAGAGGTGAGGATGGAGTCAGGACTGCAGAGACCAGTCCTTTCTGGAGCTGGAAGTCAGTGTTTCCCACAGCTAGATGTTTCTTTTGGAAATACAGTCTGTGGGGAGATGAAAACAAGCCAAGGGGCACTGACAACAGTGAGATATAAAGTATGTTGTTCTAGAATGTGCTGTTAGAACACCTTTGAGATGCCGTGCTCAGAATTGCTCCTCTCTTTACAAAGGTACGAGCGACTGGAAGACCAGCTCCATGACCTGACGGACCTGCATCAGCACGAGATGGCTGACCTGAAGCAGGAGCTGGCCAGCATCGAGGAGAAGGTGGCCTACCAGGCCTGCGAGCGTTCGCGGGACATCCAGGTGCCTGTCCTCTGTCAGTAGGCGCTCCGCAGGCACTGCCCAGCCACAGATGCATTTTACAAACTAAGTGCATTACCCCTGAGCCCTAGAGGGTCTCTGGCTCATGGAGCGAGCATTTCTTCTCCATCTTATTTACCCCATTAGCTCATGCTACAGACATTACTGAGTAATGAAGCTATATTCTGTTTATTTTCTGCCTAAATTAGTTAACAAATATTTATTATCTTATTACCCCTAAGCTCCTCGCCTACACCCTACTCTCTTCACACAACCAAACTGTTTTAAAGTTATAATACACAAATCTAGCTTTTATAATTGGAAGGTTATATCTTTTGACCTCCTTCACCTATTTTGTCCTCTCCCACTTCTGGCAACTACCAGTCTGTCCCCTATTTCTGTGAGTTCATTTTTTTTAGATTCAACATGTAAGTGAAGTCATATGGTATCTTCTCTGACTTATTTTACTTAGCATAATACCCTCTAGATCATTCCATGTTGTTGCAAATAACAGTATTTCCTTCTTTCTCGTGGCTGCATAATGTTCCACTATAGATAAAATACCACATTTTCTTTATTTATTCATTCATCAATAGGCACTTGGTTTGTTTCCATGTCTTGGCTATTGTAAATAATGCTGCAGTGAACATGGGGGTGCAGATATCTCTTCTAGATACTGATTTTATTTCTTTTGGGTATATACCCAAAAATGGGATTGCTGGACTATACAATAGTACTATTTTTTTTTAAAGATTTTATTTATTTATTTTTAGAGAGAGGAGAAAGGAGGGGGAGAGAGAGGGAGAAAAAGATCAATGAGTGTTTGCCTCTTGCATGCCCCCTACTAGGGATCTGGCCTGCAACCCAGGCATGTGCCCTGACTGGGAACGGAACCAGTGACCCTTTGGTTTGCAGGCGAGCACTGAATCTGTTGAGCCACACCAGCCAGGGCTGATAGTACTATTCTTATTTAGGGGATAGTTTGGGTTAATACTGTCCTTCCTTTTTTAAAGAAACGTACACTAGGGATCAATGGGTAAGATAAAGGGAGGGACTTCGGAAGTACAAAAAGGACATCTCTGTGAGTGACTGGAGGGTGTTTCTTGTTACGATAGACTCCTGGCTCTACTACTTTCTGTGTAACCCAGGACAAGTCACATCTCTGTGCCTCAGTTTCCTCATCTATAAAATGGAAACATTAATGAGCTCTATCTCAGGAGGTTGTTAAAAGGACAAATGGGATAATAACTTAAAGTAATCTTTCCCTGATGCATAAGCAGTCAAAAAGTAAATGCTGACTATACTTTGTGTAATGGTGGTAAGTACATATTTCCCAGGGTTATTTGCTCAACTTTGTCCTTTTTTCTGATTTCTTTTATTCTCAGAGGCAGGGTGATAGAGGAGATGGGCTAGTATAGGTGAGGGTGGCTATTGCCTATGGGGATGCGAGGGTTTGTGATTATTTTAAGCAAATGAGTACTGGGGCTTTTTTTTAACCCTGAATTCCCAATTAAAAGAGTTTAAAAGATGATCATGTCCTTTGTCATTACCCCCAATAAGTTAAGTACTGGACCCAAGGAAGTACTAAAGATTATGGGGCTGAGTATCTCCTAGTCGTTGCTGTGACTCAAGTTCTTTACAACACATTAATTAATTTTTTCTGGATTTTTCTTTTGGTGGCAGTTCTGGGATCGGTCTATTTATATGTGTAATTCATCTAGCCGATCAAAGATGAATGAATTTGCCTAAAATGTTGATTTTTTGTCTTATTCTATTACTTTTTCCATGCCCTGTCCAAAATGAAAGACACCTTGGGCCCAGGTGTTTGAAACGAATACATGATTTCTGGGGCACTCGCCTGCTATTTCAGAGAGCCAGCATTTTTCAGAATGTGAAGATCTAAAGAAGTTTTACCTTTTTTGTTGGTAGCCTGTGTAACGAAAGTTACATAGTAACAGCAAACCCCATTCTTTGGCCCGTAGCGTATATTCAGCAGAAGAAAAGCAAATCTTGTTAGAGCCATTACGCTGATTCTAACCTAAAAAGATGGCTGTGTTTTAATTGAGCAGACACAGATTGGTGAATGAATTAGATAGCAGGTCAGTGAACTGAAAGGGGCTCATTGTACTGTCTCTACTTCGATCCCTTCCTCTCAAGAGACTACAGGTTTTTTCTCTTTTAAGCCTCATATCACATAACCCCGCCTCCTGAGTGTTGCGCTGGTACATAGCACCTGCTGCATGCTCTTCACTGCCTCTGTGCACAGCACTGGGGGCCTGTCCTCTTCCTCATGTAGCCGTGGCCTCTTGGCTGGGGCACAGGGCTAAAGGGAGTCTTGGTGTAGTCTGATGGGTCAGGAAGGCTCGCTCCCCTCAGGGCATGACAGTTGATGTGAGACCTGAAAGATGAATGAGAGATCCACAGGTGAAGAGGGGAGGGAGTGGCGGGGGGGCAAACATTTCAGACATAGGACACTGCCATGTGCAAAGGCCCTGAGCATGCTCCTTTTCAGAACTTGAAAAAGCCAGTATGGGCAGAACACAGTGAGGGGGACAGGGGGCTGGCATTAAGTGAGGCAGGAGAGGGTGGCTGGGCCTGAGCCATGTTAAAGATGTAGAAGGCTTTGCAAAAAGGAATGAAGTCCTGTGGGCATCTTTCAAAGGTCATTTGGGCTGCTGTGTGAAAAGTGGATTCATGGGGCTGAGAATCAAGAGGGCGTATGGAAAACCTGTATAGGTTACAGGTAAGAGATCCTGGTGGCTTAGATGGTGGTGGTGGCTGTGGGAGGAGAGAGAAGTGAACCAGTTGAAATAGATATTAGATGTTGTATCAATGGGGTTGGGTGATGCTGTTGATGAATGACTCTCAGGCTTCTGGTATGAGGGATTGGGTAGATCAGGTGCCGTTTTTTGAGAAAAGGAACAGTGGAAGGGGAACAGGGTTGGTGGCAGGTGAGGGAGAAGGGGCAATACGTATATCCACATTTGGACATGTTGCATGTGAGGTGCTTTTAAGAAGCTCAAGTGAAGATGTCAAGGAGGCTTGTAGATATATGAGTCGGTCTCAGAAGAGACAGCTGAGGTAGCGATACACTTGGAGTCGTCCATGTCATCATTCCTGAAGTCTTGAAAAGATCAAGATCTAGCAAGAATGTATAGCTTCAGACAGTGTCTCGAGCAGCGCAGCATTCTGAGAGCGGGCGAAAGCAGAGTTGTCCCACAGTCAGTCCTGCCCCCGCCCTTCCCCCTCCATCCTCCGCCAGCCTGAAATGGATGCGCACAGACTGAGCAGTGAAATAAGGAAAAGCAATTGGAGATAGCACCTCCTCCATGGCTGAAGGTAGATAATTGTCCCAAAATGGAATCCTACCCATCCTCTGGTTTGTCCTGCATGGTACCAACAGATACCAATATTTTAGGCACTTTATTTCGTATATAGATGAAGTGAAAATACTTAACCATAATTTCTCATTTATGATTTTTTTTAATTGTGTGCACATGCTCATTCTACTGATAAATAACATAAAATGAGCCTTGGGATTCTTGTTTTCTTTCTTTGCTGTCATCATCATCATCATCATTGTCAGTCTGGCTACGTGAACCTGCCTCAGCATCAACCTTTCTGAGCTGGGGGGCTTTCGTGCACTCCCGGGCGGGCACTCACACGTTGCCCATGACCTCACAGCATTTGATCCTTGTTCTTGTTTTGCCCACAGGAAGCCTTGGAATCCTGCCAGACTCGCATTTCTAAGCTGGAGCTGCACCAACAGGAGCAGCAAGCTCTGCAGACAGATACCGTGAACGCCAAAGTTCTGCTGGGGAAGTGCATCAACGTGGTCCTGGCCTTCATGACTGTCATCTTGGTGTGTGTGTCCACCATTGCGAAGTTTGTCTCACCCATGATGAAGAGCCGCTTCCACATCCTTGGCACCTTCTTTGCTGTGACTCTTCTTGCAATATTTTGTAAAAATTGGGACCATATTCTGTGTGCCATAGAAAGGATAATAATACCCAGATGAAGCTGCTGGCTCCCATCTTCAAGTTTCTTCAAGTTTTTATTTTAAAGAGAACTCTGTGCATACTACCAAATTTTAAAATGAACAGTTGTGCCAACTGAAGATTACCAGAAGGACTGGGACTGTGTGTTGTAAATAACTACAATTGTCTTAACTCAGTAGCAGTCGCCAGCTCAGTCCCTGTGCCTGGTTAACATGAATTTGTTTCGGAAGCTTTCCCCACGTTATTCGCTGCCTTAATCAGACCAGATTTCCTGCCCACCTGACTTGCCCACCATGGTAGACCTTTGGTTGTTGAGCACTTGGCATAATTAGTGGCTCAGAAGAAAAGGGAATTTCAGTCTCTCTCTCTCTCTCAAGTCTCTATTAAAATCAAGCTCACCATTGTTAGTGGTCACGTTTTCCCTGAGTCCTATAAGACCAAGGATGTGGCACGAATCAGGGAAGGGAAGAAGCCCAGGCATTGGCTGTGTTGAACACTCATGGGCAATGGAAGTGCAGGACATCCCGGGTAATCCATCCCGATGGTGACAGTTGGCTATAGGTCCCATACGTGCCCAGTGTCGACAGTGGTCATTTATGTGTGACTCTGTGATATGGAAATCTTATTTTACACCCATTAATTCACCCAAAGTCTTAGTTGCTCTGTTGCACTTTAAACAGCAAGAATGAGGATGTGTGAATGGGGCCTCTGTCTTCGCATGTCCTCCGAGCCTTACGCGTCCTAACCAGCTAGAATGCCCGGCCTCCAAAGCACAGAGAGGTGCTTCCAAATCCCTCATCAGACTATGGTTTTTACATTAATTGGGGGCTCTGTGAGCACTACTCTGGAGGTTTGTGATTCAACAAACCCTAATTTTGATAATCCCTTGTGAGGGTGTGATTCACTTTATTTGCAGGTCTGTGAGGGGTTGCGAAGCTCACTCAGTAAATGAAAACACACGATGCCCGTGTTGCAGGGGTTTTTTTCTTTAAAAAGGAAAACCAAGTCATAGTTTATAAAGCTAATGTGCACTAAGGTAGGAACACTGGAAGCAGGAGGAAAATGTGACATGTGTCCAATTGGATGGCAGCTACACCTGTGGGAGCAATTCACCTGGATGAAGATTGAGAAGGTCCGCTTAGGACCCTGAAAGACCAGCAAGAATAAGATAAATTAGACTCAGTATCTGAGCCAAGGTTGCCATCTGCCTTCTAGGATGTCACTGGAAATAAGTCCTAAGATAACAGTGGCCACATTTCCCACGTTCCCACAAAGGTAGCATCTTTGACCTATTTGGGGGATGCCATTCACTGTCTTTAGCCTAGTCAGTACTTTCCTTTTAATTGTTCCTCTGTCTACACAAAAGGAAACTGCTATCAAGGGCCTCCCCCCACCACCCACTCTATTATCTGAAGGCATAAAGATGCATATTGGTGTACATTTTCTTCCAGAAAACATCAAATTACCTGGATTTAAATTAAGTGCAATAATTTGCAAACAGCTGCTTTTAGGGAAATCTCTTGCAAAAAAATGTGACTGCCATGGTTTGAAAGAAAGGAATAGTCCAGCATTTGGTACAAGTCCAAAATGTATGAGACTCACAACTCAAGTTGTTTTCTTTTTTTAGGTTTACATTTCAGTGCTTTTAATCAGTTCGCAAATGTATACAGCTGTCACCATTACCTAACTGTAGATGAGAACTTTCTCAAACAGTAAACATGATTTCATGAAATCATTGGCTATAAGTATTTTGGATTCAGGGAAGGAGTTACTAGCCCCACCCGCATTTCATGGTTGTCTCCTTTCACTATCCAGTTCTCCCTGGGTGACTCCCAAGTTTGCTGTAAATACACTGCGATCCATCAAATCCAGGGGACAGAGACAGGTTCCAGATCCAGGGAAGGGAGGGAGAGACAATGGCGTGCTTCCTTTTGCATTTACATTTCCATGGCCAGCATTGCCTTTGCCTGTGGGCATCAGCCTCCATGAGGCCTGAGGGCTGGATGTAACTTACAGGCGCGCATCACGCTGGGTTCTGGGTGGGCTCCTCTTGATGTCTGAATCTCTCAGCACACTTTGGACATGTCGGGGTCTGGGATGGGCTGGTAGTTTAGCCCTGAGGTAAGGGCTCTGGGGGTGTCTAGGAAGACACAGGCTTCCTGCCACCACATGCCACTCCGTGGCTCAGCCCAGCGTGTTTGCTGTGACACTTCCCGGACCTGTGATCAGTGTGTGCTCCCCAGTGAGAGAGGTGAAGGAAAGGGAAGCAGCACACTCCACCCCCTGCAGTCTGGAGCATTGAACAAGCTGCAGGGAACTGGCCGTTCCGAAATAGTGTAGCACCTAAATCATTGCACTTCGGTATGAACTCTTTTTACAGAATTCCTATTTTCAGTGATTCTCATTAGAAATCAGATAAGCTTGTTTTCATTTGGATATGCTTAACCTACACAGAATATTTATTTCAGAGTTTAGTTGAAAGTTCATAAAGCTTTCTAATAGATGATATACCCCAAGGGCACTTTTACTCTCTGTGGTTTATTATTCTCTTCTGAAGGAATAAACTCTCCCACTGCTTGTTTTCTGCACTGCTGAAGGAAATTAAATAAAATGTTATAAGTATGCAAATAAAACAGTGATCAAGCTATGATACATCCTGGAACTGAATATTTAAGTCAATTAATCCCTTTTCCTCACCTTGCATTGGTAGTAAACACCTTGTGCATTCCCACTAAGGATGAAAGCCAGTTGTGGGAGGGGCGAGCACCTGCTCATCCAGTGAACTTACTGAGTCATTTAGGTATTGGACATTGGATTCTAGCACTGGAATTTTTGGTGACATTATTTTCATGATTGCCAAGATAATGATAGTTCTCTGAGGATGAAACAAAAACCTAAAAATACTCCCTTATGGATTTTGAGTTGGCTATTCCAGCTTATATTTTTAGTATAATTAAGCCAGAGCAAAACACTTTCCCTAAATAAATAAATAAATAAATAAATAAATTTAAAGCCATAATGAGGCAGTAAATGTAAGTCCTGTATTGCTGATTTGGGGCAGTGAAAGTTGCCAGTGTGCACTATGATCTCTCAGTGAACAAATCTGAAACTCCTCCTATTCTTTCAGCCCATGTGCTCTGAGCCCTCTCTGCCACTTGGCATCCCTGTGATTTTAGCCCCTCTCCCACTTTGTCATTCTTGTTTTCATTGAAATATTGCCCCACTGTGTATGTTTATTACCCTGCCATTCTTGTAGCGTATCAGGTTTAATTATGGGTTCGATAATAGTGCCAGGAACTCGCTCCCCTCGGGCAACTAATTACTTTTGTCCTTTTTGTTTGGATTTTAAATACCAAATTATTTTGCATTGAATGGGAACCTTTGTAGTGAAACCAAATACAGTTGTATTAGTTTGGAAAAACATTTAATTATTAATGTGAACATAAGTGATTAAATAAACCTATTTTGCATATTTCTATAATTGTGAGGAAATGGTGGTAGGACAGAGTGTCATTTAAAATTCAGGGCTTTATCTGGAGAGGTATTTCTAGAAGTTTAGCATATGTGCTAAGGAAAGAGTTGATCTAAAAAAAAAAGTCACTGAAAACAGTGAGATTGGCCTGTTTACATCAGAAGTAGTTAAGCTTTAAAAAATGGTATAGTTAATAAGAGTTTGAAATCCATAAAATATAAAGCAGAATTAACCTACAATTTCTAAAGTCACTACAATTTTTCTGTTTATAAGAAGCTGGAAAGTAATGTACCTGAATTGTTTTAGGAATGATTTATGTGTTGCAATTTTAATTTATGTATTTAAAGCATGTCTCACTGTGTTTGTCCTAAGAGAAATGTTTCAAAAAAGTGTGCTCTGTATTTAAGATATGTTTAAGCAGTATATAGTGGTTCTGAAAGTAAAAACTGGAAATGTTTATTGTGAGATCCATTGCATAATTTCCATTTTGTGGGATACTATATCGTTTCATGTCAGCCTAAAATTGTAAATTCTCTGTTGATCACCCCATTCAAAGCTGGTGCCATTATTTTTTTTTAAATAAACACTTGATGTTAGCTTTGATGTTAAATAAAGAGCTAGATTTCTTAAATTTTCCCATTTGTCAGAGCCAATATCAATAGCAGACTCATTTGTGTATATCATTGATTTTTAATAATTTTTCTTCTTTTAATAGACTTTATTTCAAGCAAACTCGATCAAAAGGTACAGAGATTTCCCATATACACCATCCTCACACACACACTGCCGCCCCTTCTGTCAACATCCCCCACCAGAGGGTACACTTGTTACAGTTAATGGACCTGCATTAACCCTTCATTGTCTCCCACAGTCTATAGCTTACATTACTGTTCACTCTTGTACCTTCTATGACTTTGTATTCACCATTACAGTGTCACACGGAATAGTTTCACACCTAAAAATCCTCTGTGTTATGCCTATTTATCCCTCCTTCCCTCACCCCCTATAATCAATTTTTAAGCTTATTCCAAGTCTCTTTCATAAAAAGTTGTTGATGTGTGATAGGCAGTCCATTCCTCAAGCCCTAGTGGGGAGGGGGTTACTTCCTAATAGGTATGACCATTAAGATGGAGAAATTTATAGGACACAGAAGGACCACAATGATACCAAACAGCACTTTTCTGGCCTTTCATAAATGTGGAATGACCGCTAACATTCTTTGAGTGTTTACTATATATAATGCTCTGTGTCCAATGCTTTGCATACAATGTCCAGTGTAATTGTTCCAACACTCAGTAAGACAGGCACTATAGTCCCTGCTTAATACATGAGAAATGTGAGGTTAAATAACTCACAGAATCTTGCAATGGGTATTGGCAGAGTTGTTTTTTCAACCCCAAGCTGGTGTGACTCTGGAGCCTGCACTGGGAACCATGGAAGGCTACTGAGTGATTGGCTTCTGGTTCCTCCGTAGCTCTCAGCTCCTGCGAGATAGATGACTCTTAGGGCCTTACGAGGGGTCAGTTTTAACCTAGGGCTACAGCAATCAGTACTATGAGTTAGTTGCACATTGTGCATTTATCCCTTCACACTGCGTACTGTGGTAAAGATGGTTACCTGAAGCCAACATCCTAGATCTTTAAGAGGCATAGGCTGACAGATTTGTGGATGAAGAGAATGGAAAGCTGTTAATTAAAGCAACTTTTACACCCTCCCTGGCTTGGCTTGGCTTGGCTGAATACCAGCTTTTTCACTTAGCTCTGAGATGGTGAAGTCCCTGGTGGTTCCTGCTCTGTGCTCCGTGACATCTGCTACCATCTGTGGTGGCTACTTCTGACATTTCTCTCCTTGCTAAGCCAGCCAGAATTTCTCCCTTGCCAGGCCTTGAACTTGAGTAAAGGAGTTAACAGAAATAAGCATCAGCCATGTTAACAGCTATTTTGTTGGTGGTTACTCTACTCTAGCCCAGGTATTCGGAAATGGATTTTTTTTTTCCTGTTCTACTTAAAAATAAGCTACTGAGTACAGGCACAACTCAGAGGTACTGTGGGTTCGATTCCAGAACACAGCAATCAAGGAAGTCATAATCTTTTTGTTGCTGGAGGGTCTTGCCCTCAATTTGTAAAAAATTCCGTATCTGTGAAACACAATAAATTGTGCAGTAAAACAAGGTGTGCCTGTTTTAGAAAGAAAGCAAAGTAATGCCTTGGTCTGTGCTAAATGCTAAGGGGCTCCATTTGCCAAAGAACCTCTTGGAGCCCTGGGTTCCTCTTTGATTCTTAGACTGTTCTCATCACAAGCAGCAACACTGACAGAACCTTCCCCTGGGTGTTTCCTCCTGAAAGTGGTTTTGATGACTTTCTTCATCATACTTCCCCCATGGTGTGAGGCCCACACCCTCTAGCTGCAAGGAACAGAGAACTATAAGAAAGAACTCCACACTGAGGCCACAGCCAGGCCATACACACCCCCTCACACAATGGCTGAAGCCAACAGGGACCCAAACAGAGAGGTGGTCTTCTCCAGACTCCATGGTCAGACCTTGCAAGGTGACTTCCCCTTGTAAGCAAGAAACAATGAAATTGTCAAGGAAGTCAATGAAATTTCTATATGGAGTTGGAGTGGAAGAGGCCTGTTCAGTTGTTCAAGTATGTTTCCTCAAAGGAAAGCTGCAAGGACACGAGGAGGCTGCTCTCTTGACAAGCTGGCGAGCAGGCTGCAGTGCATCGTGGGTCACCTTGGAGGCAGGGGTCCAGACTGGTTCACGGCTATGGGTCTTCCAGGGATCTGGTTCACAGGGCTGGTTCTCGGTCTCCCTGAGAGCACTCCACTCTGCTCAGCCCCTAGCCAAGCTTGGGGGTGGGGGTGGGGGGGTGCCTGGCTTCCTCAGTGGACCTGTCCTCCTGGGAACAGGCTCCTTGGCAGCTATTTATATTTGAATGTAAATCAGTACATTTGGCTTTTTTTGTCAGGGATGTTCTTGTCAGAGATGGGTTAGCATGAACCAGTTTCACAGGAGGTCACCTAATAAATTACTAAAGTAGATTACGAGTTACTGTGTGATGGGGCAAGTCCAGCTTGAAACTAGCGGGGGCCGGAGCGGGGGGTGGGGGGGCAGGGGGTTTTCCCTCACCTGCAATCTGGTTAACCTGAGGGAAATGTTTAACCTCTCAGAATCTTCCTTTTCTAAAGCGTTAAATGTGTAGGGTTGTAAAGTTTAGATAAAGTGCTTGGAACAGGGCCTTCACTTAAGAGTGTTTATTAAGCACTTAACTGTGTCAGGCACTGTTCTAGACTCATATAAAAACAATGTTCCTTTTTTGTGGGGGTTACATTCTAGTGGAAGGAATATTTGGCAGCAATAAGGGCCGTGCTCTAAGCGATTAAGCTAACATTAAAGCTCCCCTCAACAGTCTTAGCGACGACAGGACCTTCCCAAGAGTTGTTTCCTCCGCTCGTTTTCACAGCCAGCCCTGTGGGCAGGGCTGAGAAGAGCCCTCTAAAGCGGAATTGCTTCTATCTAGGTCAGAAAGACTCCGCACGGCAGCAGGAGCGCTGAGGAGATCTGGGTCGCTCCCTTTGGAGAAGGTGGTTCCCTTCGGGAAGGGGAGGAGGTGCTCTTGGAATTCGGAGACAGGACTTGCAAGCGAGCACCGGGGCCGGAGCCCGCCGCGAGTAACGCCCCTGCGGGAGGCGGGCCTGTGCGTTCCGCCTCCGCCGGCTCCTCCCAGTCCCTGAAAAGCTTCTCCTAGGCAGCGCCTGACCCCTGGCCCTTGCCGTGCCACCCTGCCCTGTCACAGCCGTGAGTCAGGCTAGGTGGCCCGCGCACTGGCGCCCGGGCCGCCGGGGCGGCTGGGAGGCTCCGCGTGCCTTCCGGCTGGGAGGGCCCCAGGAACCAAGGCGCCCTCCCCCGGGAGCTCCCTTCCCCGGGAGCTCTCAGAGCCTCGCCTTCAGGCCTGAACTCTCACCTGCCCCCTCCCCCTGCCCTTCTCTCCTCTCCGTCCTCCTGCCAAGCCAGACCCGCCCGCCTGTGCCTACTCTCTCCCTGCGCCACCTCTTCTGAGAGCTTGCCTCTCCGTCCTCAAGCGCTGTGTCATCCACGCCTGCTTTTCCATGGGTTCACGACAGTCCACACTGCGGCTACCCTAAACCCGCTTGTTGGGACCCTGCCTCTCCTCAGCTCTCTGCTCCTTACCAGCGTGCTTCACCAAGGAATAGTCTCCACTCCCCTCTCCTTTGACTTCTTAATCCACTGAGACCTAGTGTCAGCCCCGGAAACCCACCTGAGAGTCCTCCCGCTGCGGTCACCAGTGGCACATATTGGCTTCTCCGCTGCATAGTTCCTAGTCTGGATCTCTACTACCTTCTGCTTCTTCGGCCACGGCCATGATGCTCCCAGCAGCCTGAAGCATTTCGCTCCCATTGGGTGTTCCTCGCCACCTCGCTCCCCTCTCCCCTGGCCTCTAGTCTTTTTTGCGTTGTCTCCATCTCATCCCCTTTCTACAGACTTCCCATGATTCAACCATCATCATCTGAATGACTCCTAATCACCATTTCTATGCAGAGAGCACCTGCCTTTTTTTCCATCCACAGACCTCTATTTCCAATTACTTACCTTTCATCTCTACCCAGATATCCTTAGGGCACCTCAAAGTAGAAAAGCAAGCTCGTGCTGTAGCCCTTGCACCAGATCTGCTCTTTCTGTGCTATGTCATTCCATTAAAGGCACCGCCCGCCACCCACTCATCCACCCAGACTAGAAACTTCAGTGCCATCCTCCTCGTCCCCACCAACACCAGCAAGTCATGTCAATTCTACCTTCTAAATGATCCCCAAATTGTCCACCTCACTTTATCTCACCCGCCACTGCCGTGGTTTAGGATACCATGATTCTTCCAGGACAGTTGTAAAAGCCTCTTAGATGGTTGCCCTGGTCTCTGGTTTTGCCTTCATCCTGATCCATCCCCCATGCGATTGCCGCTGCGATCTTTTGAAAACGCAAATCAGATCACCCTGTTTCACTGTTCACCCTTCAGGGCTTCCCACTGCCCACGGGGTCATATCTGAATTTCTGAGCGAGGCCAGCAAGGTCCTTGATGTCCTAGAGCCAGCCTGGCTCCCTGGCCTCATCTCCCGCCCTCATGCCCCATGCTCCCCACATCCGGCCCTGAACCTACCTTTCTTTCTTTTTTTTCTTTCTTTTCAAGCATTTCTTTTTTTCTTTCTTTATTTTTTAAATACATTTGTCTCTGCCTCCCCTCACCACTTTCCCTTGCCCCCTCTGTCCTTCCCTCCCTCAGCTCTTCCCCTTTGGTTTTGTCCATGTGAACCTACCTTTCTTTTCACACCTCTGGGTGATGCACAAGTGCTTCCCTCTGCCAATAATCACATTTCTTCTCTCCTTATTCTTCAAAAGCCTCTCTCACATGTCAGCTCTGTGAAGCCTTGTGGAGAGGTACGTTGTGCCTCCTTCTCATCAAACTTTCTGTTCATTTACTTATATCAAAATGGAATCAGAGCTTCCTATTTAATTCAAAAGGTTCTCATGCTCTCCTCCTCCCTCTGTTTTCTGTAAAGGGGGCTCTGTCATACTATCTTTACCCCTGTGGTTGTC